TATTTCCTGAGCAAAGGACAATCATTAACAAACAAACAATTATTAAATACATTAGTCATACACAATTAAATAAATAAATTAAACATATCAACTAACTGCGTGAGTAATTTAAAATACATTAAATAGAAAGGCTCATAATAAATATAAACATATTCAACAAATATAAAGATATTAACTATAAATCATCTTTAATAAACAACTATTTTTAAATGACTAAAAACAGAATTACCTGTGCATCCACTGAGGGTTTGCAAGCTCTCTGATCCATGTTAATGCCTTCATTTTCACAAGACTCTTGTTCACTGCAAATTTTCTGTATGGACTTGAGCAAGTCTCTTACTATTTATTACTATTTATTTTTTTGGAGGGGGGTAGTCCTGGGGCTTGACTGGATGGCCTGGGTGCTATCCCTGACCTTTTTTGCTTAAGGCTAGAGCTGTACCACTTGAGCCATAGCAGCTCTACTTTTGACTTCTTCAGTAGTTAATCTGGCTTTGAATCATGATCCTCAGATCTCAGCCTCCTGAGCAGCTAGCATTACAGGTGTGAGCCATGGGCACTTGCTCTTGTTCTTGTGTGAGCCCATTTCTTTAACTTTGAAATGCCTTCTCTAAAATTTTCGAAGGAATTAAGGTCACCAATAATGTACAACAGCTCCTCAAGGAGTGTTTCCATTTTCAAGCCCACCAGGTTAATGGTGCAACTAGTGCAAGAGATAAACTTCATTTCCAGAACCCTACCTGGTTTTCACCACACTCTGTCCTGAGACTTCCTGGCAGCAGCATCATTCAGTATTCATTAACACAGGACTAAGAGTTTATACACTTGCTTTCCTTTCCTTGACACAGGCCACACTATTCTCTATAGGTCTCACTTATCTCTTGAACAGAAATGACAACTGGGGTGAAATGAGATCTTAAGTTTGTATCCTATCAACCTCATCACAACAGGCTCATCTATGAAAGCCCGGGTGTCCAAGGAATATGCATTTATTATATAAATTCAGGTTTTATTATATAAGGCCAAGGAATCAGCAAATCATTGCCATTGAAAAGAGAGCTCCTCATTCCCAGCTCCTAGGATGAAGGGCCATGTCATGTCATGGTACTGGGCCCCGGAGGGATGAGGAGAGGTGACTGGGGAGGGGGGAAGGGCCAGATGCAAGGGGGGTTGGGTTTGCATAGGACAGGTGTGTTGTAAGCCAGGAATTGTTAAGCACTGGCAAGGGTGGTCCCTCCCAAACCAGCAAGGGCCTAGCTGTCAAAAGCATCAGAAATACAGCCAACAGAAAGGAGGGGTTCCATAGCTTAACTATGGTGAATAAAACATAGTTTTATCACATAAAACTATGTGATAAAACATAGTTGTGCTGGTAGCTTTGGTATGGCCTTGTTTGTGATCATTGGGGTAAATTCCCAGAAGTAGGATTGCTGGGCCATAAGGGAGCTCTATGCATGTGTTGTCTTTTGAGGAACCTCCATACTGTTTTCTAGAGTGGTATTATTCACCATAGCTAACATAGAGAACCAACCTAGATGCCCCTCAGTAGATGAATGGATCAAGAAAATGTGGTATGTGTGTGTGTATATATATATATATATATATATATGTATGTATATATATACACATATTCTATGCTTCCATCAGAAAGAATGACACTGCCCCATTTGTTATGAAATGGAAAGACCTGGGGGAAAAATCATATTAAGTGAAGTAAGCCAGACCCAAAGAAATATAGGTCCCCTTATTTGCAACAATGAGTATATGACAAAGATAATCTTATTAGATGAGCAGAAAAGTTCAAAAGCTATGTACATATGACCATAGAAGATGATGCTAAGCCAAATGAACCCCAAGATATGGACACAAGAGGTTTTTCTTTATTGTTTTTAATGTACTATGTGATTGTTTTTTGTTTCTGTTGTATGTTCTTCCTTCTATGGTATATCCCTATTGCCACTGTATTTGATTGTGGTACCTTGCATCTTGTATATACATTTATCTAATTTGGAGAGGGGAAGGACAATAACAATACGCTGAAACAAGGACACAGGATGACCCATTGCAACAATGATACTCACAAGACACTACACTGGAAATGAACTTTACAACTCGGGATGGGGGATGGTGGGGAGGGGAGGGATAGTAGGAGAAAAACAAAGGAGGGGGTAATAATGCTTGACAAGAAATGTACCCATCACCTTACTGATGTAACTGTAACCTCTCTGTACAGCATCTTTAAGAAAATAATTTTTTTAAAGGAGGGTTTACAACATAACAGACAGGGTGATAGTGATCAAGAACCATTGTACTCAAAATTGACATGTTGCATTGAAACCTCTTTGCACAACTACTTGGAGATAATTAAAAAATAAAAACAAAACAAAGATTAACGTTCTCAGGTCAATATACCAATGGTTAGGCAGAATCAGAATGCCGGGCAGAAGCCTTCTATGTCATAGGCTCTTTGGCCAGGAAAAGCCAGCCCCTTGTGTAGCAACAGAAGCAGCAAAGGGCAAGTTGCTCAGAGGGAAAGGAGATACGTGTACCCCAAACCCAGAAGTAGCATGAGCATGAGACATGCTGATCTGAGAGAAGAGGGGAAAAATATATAAATATATATATATATATAAATAAATATATATATATACACACACACTTTGCTTCTTTCCAGGAAAGCCTGGTTCATGTCTGTAGTCTAACATCCTGGGGCACTATTTCTGAGACTAAACGAATCCCTCACTCTCTCTGAGTGGAGAAAATTACATTTGGATTCAGGGCGCAATAGAACGAAGATTATTTTGCTCGAGTGCATTGACCTTTATTCACCATTTCATCAGAATTTCTGGAGCATGAATCTGCGTCCAGCCTCCTCCACAAAAGCTCACACGAAGAAGGAAAATTCTTGTCTGGCTCAAGGCCAGAACATCCTCTCCCTGAGCAGTCAGACACAGGGAAAGAAAATCAAATCCGCAGACTTTGGGAATCTAGTTAGGGAATAGTTGTAGGAGATATGGCAAACAACAGGGCGGCTGAGTGACTCTCTAGAGAAAACTGTCTCTTCCTGTCCCTGCCTACAAAGAACAATTACATTCCCCAATATTCCTCCAACTGAGCAAAACATCACAGGCAAATTGCCAGTTGTGTCTCTTCTTGCCGTTTGGCTAAATAATCAGGAAACAATAGTTAGGCACACATGCACAAATCCAGGCTCACAAGAAAGGCAAAGCACTTTTAAAACCAGGTTACCAGAGTTTTAAAGATGGGGCAACATTTTACTATTTAAGAAAAAAATATTTATTTGCAAGAAATGGAAATACAAATGCATTACAATGACAATTTATTTTTTTTTCAACTAAGTACAAGAATTCTACAAAGCTTTTTTTTTTGGTATTTACTTAGCTATAATAAAGAATAAGAGGCCATAAAAACAGCAGTAGGACAGGTGACAGACTCACAACGCACTCAGATTTAAACGCTGTGGAGCTATATAGTGTGTTACAAGACAGAAGAAAGCTTGGCTGTCAGTATAGACAGTAAAGCTGGCTCGTGATTACAAGTCCAAGGTCTGTTCACCACTGTGTAGCAAAGGCAAGCTCATGGTGCATCCCAGAGCGCTGGCTTTCCCCGGACTTTATCTGAAAGGGAGATCTTTGAGGCAGTGTAGGCCATGGGTGCAAAAAGAAAAGAAGTTTATGATCCCACTCAGCTGGCGGTGAGTAAAGGATGGAGCAACAAAAGGAAGCTGAAACCCTTGGCTTCCTTTTTACCCGGGTGCAAAGCCTGCTCACTGAAAACTCAGAGAAGCCTGGATGGCCAGAGAAGACCATGTGGAGGCCACTCCGGCAGAAGGCTCCAGAACCAAGCAATGTGTGTATAGGGGGGTAACAGGGGTGGGGGAAGCCTGAAGGGTTAGCAGTGCCCTCCCAGAGGAACCTGCTTAACCTGTCTTACAAATGGCTGTACCCAAATCCCAGAGTTCTTTACCCATCTCATAGTAGCCTGTCACCCTTATTTCTGTATCCACCAAATTAAAAAGACTTAAAATATATTCAACACATTATTCAACACCTTGGTATGTCTTCAAGAAATATTATTTCACTTCCTTATAGAAACCAAGACCAAAATAAGGCATTCCTGAATTTCAGGTTGCCCCAAATAGTCAAACAGCTTTCCTTTCCTGGGGTTAAGGGCTGATCCCTTGACCCCAGAGGTAGGGAGCTTTAATCCTCCAATGGGCCAGGTTCCTTTGCACTCAGAAAATGCTGGGCAGGGAGGATTTAACAGGCCTTTAATCCTGGCTGACCATTTTTGTGATGTGATTGCTCCTCTACAAAATGGGGAATGGGATTTTCCTAATGGATATAGCTCTGTTTCTTTGCTCCAGATGTACAAATCTAATAACGGTTCACTCCTAGGAAACTGATTTTGAGCCTTTGGAAAAGTTTCTTTTCCCATTCCCCCCAAAATTCACTTCAATCTAACTCTATAAAGCTATATATAACATTTCCCAGGGATGAGGACTTCCTCAGTCATCCTGGATTCAAATGTAAGGCACATGTGAGACACAATTGAGTACCTAAGAGGAATGTACATGAGTAAGAGAGACAGACCGAAGAGACAGAGACAGAGACAGAGACAGAGACACAGAACTAGTACTTAAGTCTTTTGAATAACTACTGCTTAACTTGAGGTTTCCTCAGTCAATTCAAGAATAAGGTTCCCTCTTATTTCCCAGCATTTCCTAGGGCCTCAGGCAGGTCCTTCCTTATTAAAACTAAAAAGTCACCAGGTCACCAGGTACCGGTGGCTCACGCCTGTGATCCTAGCTACTCAGGAGGCTCAGATCTGAGGATCCTAGTTCAAAGCCAACCTGAGCAGGAAAATCCATGAAACTCTTATCTTCAATTAACTAGCAAAAAGCAGAGAATGGCACTGTGGCTCAAAGTGGTAGAGCAAAAGCTCAGGGACCACACCCAGGCCCTGAGTTCAAGCCCAAAGAAAACAAAACAAAACAATAAGAAGAAAAAAGAACCCTGAAAAGTCCAAGAAGAAAAGAATGAATGAATAAGTAATCTGGAATCTGGTATTCATAGTTGGATTGGTAAATATGTTGAACTGAAAGCTACTTTTCCAATCTTCAAATGAGTTCTCTAAATCAAACTCCTTTCTAATAACCCAAAGGTTATCTAATTTTGGCAACAAGGCCCACCTCCACCTCCTGCCAGGAGAGGAGCAACTCAGCTCAGGTGTCAGGATTTTACAGAACACTCTCTTTCTGGGAGCGAGACAGACACCAGAGTCCTAATCCTTCACTGTCTTTCTCCACACTGGAACTGAGGCCTCTCATTTATGGGGTCCAAGTCATAGCACAGAGGTGGGAGTTGTAAAACAGAACCATCGCAGGCCAGGGGAGGGGTTACTCAGCTCCAGTCCATTGTAATCGAAGCAAGAAAAGAGGGAATACCGGTGCACATGATGGGAAATCTTAGAACAAGCAGATTTAGTGTGTTGGCTTCTGGTTTCTCAAATAGTTTCATTTTTTTTCTAAATTTAAGTTCAAGCTCTCTCTCTGAATTCACGGTTATCTTCAGAGTGAATCATGAATTATTCACTGGTCTGCAGGTCTGGTTCCACAGTGGAAAAATAAAAACAATCTGCTCATATTGGGGGCTTAACCTTTGACCAGAAAGCAAACACACCTCCTAAATGATGTGGAACCAATCTGGTGTTAGGTGACACTTCTGTGACCTCCTGAGCTTCAAGGCTCCATTCGCCTTTCTCACACCCAAACCAGGGGTGGAGGGCAGAGGTTTTCTTCTTAAAATAGCAACACCTGCTCTTGGAAACCCTCTTACAGGGCCATTGAGTTCTCTGGCTCATGTCCCATGTCTCCAGTTACAGATTCTGTGCTGGAACAAGCTTTTCCAGAGAAAATGTCCTGCTGGATGTAGAGAGAGTGATATCCTACAAAAGACAAAAATTAAATCCTCAAAGAACTAAGAACTAAGGCCAGGCGTTTCCTTTTCCTTCTCCCTCCTCATTCAAGAGCGGAGTTTCTACCAGGGCTATTTTCAGGTGACTTATAACCCTGTTTGGTTCAATTGCAACCGTCAGATGGGCTGATCCATAACCTCACTTCTGCTCCTTACCTTTTCCCATTTTCCTAGGACTATTTAATTCTGGGGTTCTTGCCTTCTGGGGAGAGGGGGGTGTCCCACTGATGGTCTATGTGCGACAGGGACCTGGCATTTTACAGAGGACATGAATCAACTGCGGTCTGTGGGACAGGAGCCAGATACAAGAAGACCAAGCGCCCGAGAAAATGGAGTGCAGGGAAATGAGAAGCAGAAGCAGAGGTGCCCAGCGCCCTCTCTACCCCACCAGCCCAGATGTCCCAGCCTGTCCTGTCCTGGTCCATGTAAGGGAGGGACGGCAGAGCTGTCAGCCCACAGGAGTCCTGCCGTGACTCGGACACACAGCATGAGCAGCTAAGTTTTCTTCCTAGTCAGGAACCTTCCCCACAAGTGTGGGAAGACCACTCCCCACCGTGTCTCCAAATGGATCCAGGCTGATGACGTAGGAAACCACTAGTGGGGGCTGAGGGCAAAAAGCTAGTGATACCAAATCCTGTCTGTCATATGGAAAGGAAGGCCTGGTGTGGGTGTAACCTCTCTTAATGGAGGCTCCAATGACCAGTAGACGGTTAGATGATGATGGTGGTGATAATGCTGTATGTGTGTGTGTGTGTGTGTGTGTGTGTGTGTGTGTGTGTGTGTGTACGAGAGACAGAGACAGAGGGACAGAGACAGAAATAGAAGCCAAAGCTAAAGGCCCTTCAGCTGTTACTAAAATAAAATAGAAAATGTAAGCATATTTCCTATACAAAGTCTTTTACAAACTGGGGGGGGGGGGGGAGGGGAAACACGTCAAGGGAGTCTTCTATCTAATACAATAAAAAGGCAATTTCCATTTCTTCTTTGTATGAAAGAGGAAAGATTTTCACTATAAAAGTTACTTTTAATCATTTCAAACAAAAATAAAAAGTAGGTTGGGGATTAGGTTATGTCTCTTTGGGTGAGCTGCAAAGTAGCCAGACCTGACTACAGAAAGGTCAAGACAGCGGATGCTCCGACGTCCCCTTGGTTAAGGCGGGCAGAGGGAAGGCAGGGTACAGGGAGGAAAGGCCTGGCAGGTGTGGAGGACAAGCTGTCAGCCATGCCTGCTGACAGAGACAGAGCTTCTCTGCTTCTTCTTGTCTCTCTGGAGAGAGAAAGCAACAGGCCACAGAGCCCCGGCTCTGAGCAAGCCATCGCTCTATCATTCCTTCTTAGTCCATCCACGAGGGAGACACAGGCTTCAGGGAACTTCTCAGTAATAATTACTTCCTAGGCCTCCCATTTAAAAGAGAGAAAGAGAGAGAGAAGGAAACAAACAAACAAATCATCTGGGAGAACTGAGGCACTCACAGCCACGCTCCACTGCCACGGGAGACCTGGCTACCGTGGAGGGAGGGGGACACTGAGTCACTTCAGTGGGGTCACGGGCGGGGAGCCTCAGTAAGCTAATAAATACTATTTACACGTGGGGAGGGGAAGCCAGGGAGGTACAACTAAGGTCCTTATTGGGAAGCAAATGAGGGAGGTCCTACAAGCAATATGATGGGCAGGTCGGCCTGGAGGAGAAAAGCCTGATGATGCCTTCAGGCATTGCACTTGCGGCCTGAGTTTGCAAAGGAAGCCCCCTCTCTGTCTGCCCCACGGGTACTGGAAGGCAGCGTGGAGGGAGGGTCCTGATGTGAGGCCCTGGCACACCCAGGGCAGAGGGGAGCAATCACACTAGAGGCCTAGTGGGAACAAGGGAGAACCAGAATCAGTGCTTTGCCAAATCCAAGCAGGCATGGAACTAGGGTCTGCGACGTCAACTGAATAAAAGTCATCTCTTCTTCCAAGAGGGGACGATCTCCGAGGGGGGGAGAATCAGGCAGTGTCTTTGGGCACGATGGATGGCAACAAGCCTGCTTGTCCCATCCGCCTGCCACCCCTACCTGAAACAATTTCCTATGGCAGTGAGAGAAAAGGGAGGGAGAGGCACTGGCTCCCTTCTCCATGAGAGCGAGCGGCAGACACACAAGCAGAACCCCAGGCCGGCCTCCCATCCCGAGCCACTAACACTCATCCCCCTGCTCTTCAGCCTCCAATGGCAAAGAGGAAAAGCTAGTGACAGAGGTGATTTGGGGAAGTCACGGGAGAGTTAGGGGAAGAAGGGAGATGGAGAAAGCATCACTAGAAGGTGGTGTTCACTCTTCTCTCCAGTTCTACCACTTTGAGAGTTTCATTCCCCTCCAGTTTGGCGCTGACCCTGTGAAGACAGGGGAAGGAGAAAGAACCATTAGTCACTGCTAGTGACAAGTCTCATGTGCCATCGTGTGATATCATCCTTCCATGTGGGCTGACCCACATGGGCTTCTTGTCTTCTATCCTCCTAGTGGTTAGTTATTCTTTGCTCCCCAAATCTCTGGCTACCAGCCCATTCATTCACCTACACTCCTGTCTTTATCCTTATTTGAGACAGCCGAAATAGCCCAGGGAAGATACATTATGGTTCCATATTGACTGCTTATAAATTGCTTTAAATTATTCTACTTACGATTGGGTACCAGTGGCTGACACCTGTAATCCTAGCTTCTCAGGAGGCTTAAGATCTGAGGATCATAGTTCAAAGCCAGCTGGGACAGGAAAGTCTGTGAGACTCTCAGGTTCAGTGAACCACTCCCCCCACACAACAAGAGCCGGAAGTGGAACTATGGCTCAAGTGGTCGAGTGCTAGCCTTGATCAACAAAGCTCATGACAGCGCCTCGGCCCCAAGTTTAAGCTCCAAGACCAGCACCAAACAAAAAGTATATATATTTTCTATGGATACATAGTCCTATGATAAATTTGGGGAAGTAGACAATAAAAGGATATGAGCTGACCCCTGGTCTAGAGGAGCTACTCATCCAGATAAAGACTTTTCTTTAAGCAAAATAATTTGAAATAACATTAAATGTATGAGAGGAAACAAATTATTGTCAAATTGTGTACCAGCCCCAGAGTCTCCCAGCTTTCAGATGAGTCTTAGGAAGGCTCTACCACGAGAAACAGATCATGGTATCATAGGTGAGTCTTCCAGAGGTTCCAGTGGTTGCTCCAGATTTCACCCGTGATGGTAAAAAAATTATGTCTTACTGTTTGAGAGAAGTCAAGAGGATTCATATGGTAGCATATTTAGGCTACCAAAGGCTCAAATAGTAAGCATTAGCAAATATTAAATATACATATGCACTGTATACATATAAAAGTCCATGTAATTATGTATCACCTTCTTATTCGAGGCTAAGGAAAGAAAGTGAAGAATCTACAATGAAATCTTTCCCACTGGACTTGGAACATCCTCATGTCTGTGTTCACGATCACAGACCAGCTAAACTGCTACCCATTCACCACAGACTATACATCTCCCAGTGTATGCACACAGTCCTTCCTGCACTGGACCACAGCCAGGTACCCAGGTACCTCCCCTACAAAAACAAGGCCTTGTGCTCATGTCAGCCTTTATCTCCCACAACTAAGAAAGCCAACGCCTGGAAAACTGGGAATCAAATTTAGATTCTTTTCCATATGGGCACACATACATACATACATACAACAGTGCTGTCCCTCAATGGAAACTTCTAGGTTTATACAGGTTGAGCATCTCCGATTCAAAAGTGCAATGAAATACTGGAATGCTCCAGGGCCCTGTGCCAACAGGATGCCACCAGTGGGAAACGCCACACCTGACCTCCTGTGACCAGTCACAGTCAAAACAAAGGCTCACTACCAACGCTGGGTTAACAGACCAGGCTGTGTGCAGCAGGTGCACAGGAAAGACAGATGAATTTTATAAGGAAACTTTGGTCCCATCCCTAATATAATCTCTGGATGTATATGCAAGCATTTTAAAACCTGATAGGCTTCGAAATCTAAAGAAGACTCTGGCCTCAAGCTTTATTTTCAAATAAAGGATGCTTCATTTGTGTGAGCTGACATAGAAATACATAATGATGTGCAGCCTGACACTCACTTTCTGGTTGGGAGGGAGCTACCCAATGGAAGTGGTCTTTTTATGTTTTTGTCCGTTGCGGGGCTTGAACTCAGGGCCTGGGCACTGTCCCTGAGCTCTTTTGCTCAAGGCTAGCACTCTACCACTTTGAGTCACAGCACCACTTCTGGTTTTCTGGTGGTTAATTGGAGATTAGAGTCTCACAGACTTTCCTCCCATGCTGGCTTTGAAGCAAGATCCTCAGATCTTGCTAGGATTGCAGTGGCATGAGCCACTTGTACCCAGCTCTCTGGGAAGTGGCCTTGAAGGTGCATTTGCATAGCAAGCAGGCTGAGCTGAATGTTTACAATGTGGCCTTTGAAGGGCCCATTCCTTGGGCCACAGCCACCAGCTCCAGGCTGAGGCTGTGGAGCTCAAGGTAGCCAGTGCCCAGCAATGGACTCTCCTCAGCGCCAGATCCTGGATGTGGGTGCTCAGAGAGCCAAGACGAGGAGCAAGCTGGGCCTGAGTTCAGACCCCCACGTCAGGTAGCCCTCAGCCTATCACCAGCCACTAAAGGAGCCTGATGCGCATGCGCAGGACTTACAGGTGCTGCTGCAGCTCCAACAGCACGGACTTCTCCAAGCTGGTCTCATTTGAGATAATGAAATGAGTAAGTTCCATGTCTGGCAGGGGCTCCAGTGCTGATGCCCTGAACAGGGCAGAGCCTCTGTCCCAGCCCCCAAGCTCCCCATTTGAGGCCTGGCTGGATGGCTCCTCCAGGGAAGAATGCTCCTCATAGATCAGCAGGTTCCTGGATCTCACTGAGAACAGAGCAAAGAAACAAGGTGTCAGCAAAAGCCCACAGGAGACAAACATATCCTTTTACTCCCCAACCCCAGGGCAATTGTATTCTGGTTGCCCAGGACAAATAGTACCAGTCGGATCTGGCTTTCTGTAAAGGCTTCAGGGTTTCAGTGTTTCTGCATTGAAAAATTATACCAATTATACAGCACTAGGAAAAAAAAACAGCAACGAAAAAGCAAATAAACATGAAGCCACAAACTTACTTTGAGATTGCAACTCCATTCCTTGCCTACCCATAAGCACCTCAAGGGAAACAATTCATGCAAAAGGGGAGACAAGAACTTGGGGAAGTCCAGACCCAGCTAAAATAGGAAGCATTCTCTAATGAGGAGGGAGATGAAAGCTCAGGGCATTTTCAATCGGAATCTGGAAGGAAGATGCGAAAGCAAAGCCATCAATCAGAGGACAGAGACAATCTTTTTTTCCATAGGACAGTCGGTCACCTAGCTAGATGGTCCTGTAGCAATTTTCCCAGAAACTATGATTCTACTGGCTTTCAATAGCTAGACAGATCTCCCTTTGGGGAAACGATTTCCCTACAGGTCTTGAAATTTCTTGTATTGGAATTCCAGTGCTTCTGTTATCTGACAGTCATACACCTGCCCGGTGCAGAGTACCGATGCTCCAGAATGGCAAAACTGTCCCTACTTCAAACTCACTTCCTCCAAACCCCATGCCTGACCCATCACCCTTCTATTTCCTAAACTTCAAAAGATCCTTGGTCTACATGAGATTATTACACACTTCTCATATAACACCCGAGTCTCCAAATTCTAACTCTTGGGCCTAATGTTTTGTAAGACAGAGCCTTTTGTTTCATTTTATAAACTCTTATGATGGTAACACACAATTCCCAATTCCCAAAGTGGAGGCAGAAACACAGGCGCTTTCTTAAAATGTCACAGAAGGCTCAGTGTTCTTATCCTGCCCCCTCCTCAAACCCACATGCATCCCTTATCAGAGTTCAAGAACGGGGTGTCAATTTACCGAGGAACAGAGACTAGAGAGCAGCTTGCAAATGGTGCTCTTGGAGGGTCTGGGGGATTTTTCAGTGCTGCTCCAGCATGGTAGGTAAGGGACATGGGAAACAGCGCCAGGTGCCGAAGGCGCACACCTGAAATCCTAGTTATTCAGGAGGCTGAGATCTGAGGATTGCAATTTGAAGTCACCCTGGCTAGAACAGTCTATGAGACTCTTCTCTCTGATTAACCAGCAAAAAGCCAGAAGTGGTAGTGTGGCTCAAGTGGTAGAGTTTAGAGGGAAAAAGCTAGAGGACAGTGCTCTGGCCCTGAGTTCAAGCCCTACTATTGGCATGAAAGAAAGAAAAGGGGTGGGGGTGGGGGTACACAGCAGACAGCAACCTTACCCCGGAGCCTGTCATGTGCAAATGGAAAAGCTCCACTTCTGCCATTTTTACCGACTTTTACAAAAGACTCCAGAAAGCTGGGAGACTTAGATCCAAAGAAACAAACCAAGTTATCTCTCAAGTAGCTGGGTGCTCTCTTACCGACAGAGGCTGCGTATGGCTCTGACAAGGAGTGCTGGTTGGGCAGAGCCATCTTGGTCGCAGAAGGATAGGGTCCATAGCCTTGAAAGAAGCTGCCGAATGCAACAGCAAAACACAGCACAACCACCTGGAGGGAGGGGAGAGGACATGGGAGCTGTGAGCCCCAGGCTCCGAAAGGTTGATCTATAGACAGCCCACATCCAGGATAATGGGGGGTGGGGAGAACTGGGCCATCTATCAGGAGACAAAATGCACTCTCTGGTCACATGCATCTGGAGGTATCTAGAGAAACAGCCTGGGAGCAGGCTGCATCGCCTGTGTAGCCGCAAGGTGGGAGACCCAGGGAAACAAGGTGCTGGCCAGGGGCGAGTCACTGGATCATTCTTTGGGGAAACTTACCATAAGGCAGGTACCAGTCTGCGTGCCTGCCAACTTGCAGGTGCGAGAAACCTTCCCCATCACCAAAGTCTGAAGCTTCTGGAGTTGCTGAAGGAGAGTCCTGCCAATGGTGACAAGGAAAGGTCAGAAAAAGGACATGGGGGATGGCCTTCCCTTTGCTGACCCTCCACACAGGACATTGGCTTGCCCTGTTCTTGTACTGCTCTGAGCAAGAGGAGAGTGCTCCAAATGGCCCCTGACAGGCTGAGACGTGTTTATCTCTGCCTTTGAGAAGAAAGAAAAGGTTACATGCTGGCTGGATGTTGGACGGTGAATCTGTTCAGCAAGTTCATGCCCTGCTCCCAGTTCCTACCTTACATTCTAACTCCCAATGCGATGGTCGCAGAGGTGTCTTTGGGAGGTGGCCCACGATTGGCCCCTCACAAGGGGCTGCATGTGAGGACACAGGTAGAAGGAGCTTCCTGTAAAGCCGGAAACAGCCTCAATCTCACCAGGTACCAAAAGCTGCCAGCACCTTCGTCTTGGATTTCCCAATCTCCAGACCCATGAGAAACAAATTCCTACTGTTTATAAAGCTGTTGTTCAGCTTCTGATATTTTCCCTACGGCAGCCTGAACAACTGGAGGTGGCGGTAATTAAAGGAGGCTTGGGTGAGAAACATGGATGAAGACTTAGAGGAAAAATGCAAAGAGGAAAGGGAAACGACCACCAGAGGGGCAGCGAGGGTAGCTATGACTGAAAATGGCAACATCACCACCACGAAAAACAGACATTTGGATAGGAGATGGACGATGGAGAGAGAGAGAGAGAGAGAGGACAGACAACCAAGACAGACAGACAACACACACAGGAGCAAATCATCCAAAGACAGGAAACTGACAGTTTTGGAATATATGGAATTGGAATCTTGGAAAGCAAGTCTGTGAAACACAATGATCTTTCTCCAGGAAATGACAGAAAATGGTAGAATAAATTAGTTTCTCTTCCAGGTTGGGCAATTCTGCATCCCCTTAAAAGGGAAAGGTTTAAGGACGAAGACAACTTCCTATGCTCTATATGACATCAGACACAGAAAGAACAGAGACAAAACTCTACATCAGTCCGTGACAGCAAGGCGTTGCCAGGAGTCTGACAACACACCCTCACACATGAGAGCATCTTGGAGGAATTCTGCAAAAGGCATTATGTAAAGAGCTGACACCACTCCCCACTCTCATACCTCTTTTGCAAAGTACAGTTTACCAGCAGATGCTGTTTCTTGAGTTTCAGTGATTCTCAGAAAAAAAAGAAATCCATCTAGTGACGCCATATTAGAGAGCCACATCTGCTAGAAAACACTAGCAAATCACCTGTTTGCAGAACTCTGGCCTGTCATGGCTAACTTGCTTCTCATCACTGTCTCCTCAAGAGTGATCGAAGGCCGCAAACACAAGCAGGTTTTTCCAGGGTTTGCAACTTCTCCCCTAGCAAATACAAATGCAGGAAGTTCTCTCCATTTAAGCAAATGAAGGGCAGCGTGGCCTTAAGAATGATTTTGCTTTGACTAGTTTTAAATGGATAAGAATGGTTGGAGAATTACAGCGGCCCTGCACAGACAGTGGGAGCCTACTGTAGTCATAAACCCCTGCGTGGGCCCAACCATGCCACACTTCTGCCTTGGAATAATTTTAAGAAAGCAGAATCTTTCAGCACAATAATCTGTATCATTAATTTAATTTGTTTAAGGTGGGAAGCCTTTTTGTGTGCTCAGTTGTACAATTATTTCTTTTGTTTCTGATTATATAGAAGTATGATGGCATGTAGGTTACACTTGATTTATGTTTGCATATATAAAGTAGGATAGGTTTGGAAAGCATTCTATATGTTATTCGAGGCTGAGAAATAATGATGGCATGACTATTTCCAATCCTGCTGAAAGAAAAAACGTTGGTGGGAGAGATGGGGAAGACCAATGGAGCAGGTAACCAAGGTATGTCGCACTCGTGAATTGATAAGACTCTTTGTACGACTACTTATAGGTAAAAAATTGTTTTAAGTTTCCAGCCAAATGGTCTGATGATGCAGTACCATTATTATTCCCTGGATCAAACATTTTTTCTCTTCTCCCAGGATTTCTCTACAACACATTCCTCCTCCCATCAGCATGGTGCCCGTGCGTGCGTGCGTGCGTGCGTGTGTGTGTGTGTGTGTGTGTGTGTCAGTGTCAGTCCTGGGGCTTGAAATCAGAGCCTAGGATGCTGTCACTGAGCTTTTTTGCTCAAGCACTCTACTATTTGAGCCAAAGCTCTGCTTCCAGCATTTTCATGGTTAACTGGAGATAAGAGTCTCATGGACTTTCCTTCTCAGCCTGGCTTCCAACTGCGATCCTCAGATCGCAGCCTCCTCAGTAGCTAGGATCACAGGTATGAGCCACCAGTGCCCAGTGCCTGGTACCCTTTTAACACTATGAAAGCTGAGTCATCGAGCCCAGCTACTTCCTGAGTAACGTCCTTTCTCACAGAATCCAGATTAGACTGGCTCAGCCCAGGCTGGACTTACAACATCTGGGATTCCAGCCCCCCAAGCCCTTGCTAGGTTCTCTCTGCTGGCATCTCCGGAAGTCCCAGGGCAGACACAGACAGGTGAGTGCCCAGATCAGACCCTATGGTACACACACCATCATCTTCCATGATATCAGTTCTTAGCTGCCGGCTAAGCTATGCTAAGAGTCTTCTCTCCTTCCTTGGTCTGCTTAAGAGCCACTCCTTCACGTGATGGCTGCAGCTTCTGCGGGGCATTTCAGCTCTGCACAGGACACGCCTGCTGGTCTCAGCGTGCTGCAGCTCGGCTGTCTTCTGTGAAGGAGTGGGCAGGGCCCTCCTTCCATCAGATGGGGGTCTTTCCAGATGTTGTTTTCGCTCCCAAGTCTTAAGGTGATTTGACAGTGAAACCATCCTTTTTCTATTTAATTCTTCTTCTTCTTTTTAAACCAATAGTCCCTGTTGACCAGCAAACATTCCACACTTCCTCTCTGCCCATCTCTGGCTCCTTGCCTGGTCTAATTTAGAGTGTGAAATGCTGAGAAAACAAATTGCATGCAGTACTTGGCTTCCCCGTCCTCTTCTGATTTCTGGGGAGATGGTGGAGCTCATTCTCCATTCCCTACCATCCCAGAAGGCACTGCGGTCTCTCCTGTAAAGAGACTCTCAGCAGGTCAGCCCCTCCTCAAGCCCACTCAGGAATGCCCAAGGTGAAGATAAGACACATTCCCTGTCCCACTCAGCTCCAGGTACAACGTGCTACAAGTCTGGAACCGTTTTCCCACTGGAGACAGCAGGAAAAGCTCTGTGCTCACTAATGTAGAGTGCTTCGCTTGGCATTCGCATGCACAGCTTTCGCAAACTCAGATGATTATATGCTGATTCCATGGCAAATGAAAAATAGTCGTTTAATGGTCCTTGATTTCTCACAGTTTGTAATCCAGCCCTTTAAGATGAGCAAACACATAGTTTTAAAATACGTATTTTGCAGTTGGGGATTTGGGTGGGATGCCACAGTGATTGATAATGTGCTGTTTGCTGTGTGTTTGCGTGCATGGCTTGGTGAAGGTAAAATGAACTCATGGTGGAAATGAAAACACTCAAGCAGCATCTCCAGAGCCTCTCTCCAGAGTCAAGTGGGTTGCTCTGTGTTGTGTAGAGGAGTGGGAAACCTCTCTGTACCCAGCCTTCGGTGAGCTGGGCCTTTTTCCAGATGGTACCAGGGCCCTGGTATCTTGGCTCCAGAGCCAGAAGATGTTTTTTTTTTTAACCAACAGTCTCTGCTTACTAGCAAATATGCCACACTTCTCTACCCACCCCAGCTCCATGCCTGGTCTTTAAAGTCTGAACTCTAACGTTGTCTTGTGGAGTAATTTGAATTTAAGGAAGCAAGATCATTCATCCCATGAATTAATGAAGGCTTCGGTTTAAGGAAAGAAACCCTGATGCCCCACCTAGACACATGTGCAAAATGTAGGAAGGGCATTTAAGTCTGACCCATCTACCACGCCCAATGTTTAAATAGGTTCTTATGATCAAATAGTCTGGGAAATTCATATGTATTCAAAATCTCATAAAATTAATAGTGATTGAGTTCTTGGAATTAAATATACGTTTATGTGTGTATGTGTGTGTGTGTGTGTGTGCATAGACACACACATACATATGCCATTACCAGGGCTTGAACTCAAGGCTTTGCACTCTTTTTGTTTTGTTTTGTCAGTCATAGGGGTTAACTTGGAGCCTGGGTACTGTCTCTCAGCTCTTCAAATTAAGACTAGTGCCCTACCATTTGAGCTACAGCACCCACTTCCAGCTTTTTTTGCTTGTATGCTGCTAAGGAATCCAACCCAGGGCCTTACGCATGCAAGGCAAGCACTCTACCACAGAGACAACTTCCCAGACCAAGGCCTTGTACTCTTGATGAGCTGTTTCACTTACAGTTGGTACTCTACTACTTGAGTCATACTTCCACTTCTGTTTTTTTGTTTTTGTTTTTTGCTGGCTAAGTGGATTTAATAGTCTTCTGGTTTACTTGCCTGGGCTAGCTCTGAACTGGGATCCTCAGATCTCAGTCTTCTGAGTAGCTAGGATCACGATGTGAGCCACTAGCCCCCAGGTAGGAACTGCATATATTAAAACACTAAACAATTGTCTCAGTCACAGAACTTCTAAGTAGAAGCACAGTACCTCAGACAATGATCTAATACAATGACCAACCAAATACTTCTTAAATAGATTTTTTTGCAAATCCAGTCACATGAACATTATATTATTATAGCTCAATGGAGAGATATTTAATACTCGTCATTAGATATGAAAATGTGACCATTAAAAAGGACCAAGCCACAGTAGGAGGAGCTAAGCAAACACACAGGCACATAAAGAGCCAGGACTACACCCAGCCCAATGACAACGAGATACAACTAACAAAGTTGTAGTAAGAAAACAAATAAAAACCATAAGGATTGGTACCTCTTAGATATACCAGAGACACAATGCAGGTGATCAACAAAAGAACCTGGAATGCTCCCTTGCCCTACACTTCAGGGGTCAGAAGTCAACGACAGGCTTAACTTAG